AAAATAAAATAACCTGAGATTTGCAGATTAGTTATCATTGAAGAAAGTGAAGAAAAACTAGAGAAAACATTTTCCTTCTTCATTAAGCAGATGTAAAGATACGGACTGACTATCAATAGCAAAAAAACTAAGACAATGATATTTGGTGATAACAACATGACAAGAAACATCCTAGTAGATGGGAAAGAAATTGAAAATCTAGAGAGCTTTACATATTTAGGAAGCAAACTAACCTATAATCTAAATTGCAAAAAAAAATAGAGATTAGAATAGCCAAGGCAAAAACAAATTTGAAAGCAATGGACAAAATCTGGAAAAGTAAAACAATTAGTTTGCAGACAAAATTAAAAGTATTGAACACCTGCATCTTCTCCTGCATGCTGTATGCCTGTGAGACATAGTTAATAACAAAAGATATGGAAATAAAAATATTAGCATTTGAAAGACACTGTTACAGAAAGATCTTACAAATAGGATGGATGCAGAAAGTCACAAAGAACTTTATAATAGGATATATATGAAAAAAGAATCTCTTACAAAAAATTATACAACAAAAGCTTCAACTGTTTGGACACAAGAATGAATGAGAACAGAAAAATTAAGACTTTAGTCTACGGCAGTGGTTCCCAAACTTTTTTGATTCTTGGTGCCCTTGCTAAATTCAGATTTTCCCAAGGTGCCCTATGTCAAATTCTAACAAGTATTAATACAATTTATGAAATAGTGAAATAGCCAATATCTTTTTAATTACAGAGTTAGGACGTTAAATAAAACACGTATTTAAGGTAACAAAAAATTGAAATTGAACAAATTCAATTAATTATAATTAGTGAGATGGATGAGCCTGTTGATCAACGCACATTTTCTCAAACCTTGGAATCAAACTGGACACATCCACCCTCATTTCCTTCTCCACATTGATTTTTGTGCAATACTTAATTTTTATCACAGCGACAAACTCAGCTTCACACAAATAAGAAGTCACAAATGAAATTAAGATTCTCCGAGTGTACCACTCAAAAAGGATATTCATCTTTTACTGATATCTAAAGTTCAGTTAATTCATGCTGCTAAATTTTGTTTTCAATGTATTTCACAAGACAACTCAATAACATTCTCTTCTTCTGCAGCATCAAATTCAGATGGAGCACTGGCATTAAATGGATCTTGAATCCAAGCAAATTTATCAACATTATCATTTTGAAAATATTTCTCAAACCAGGTGATAAGCTGTGATAAATGTTCTTCAAAAATTTAGTTCATACCTCAAGAGAAATCAACTCTGTTGTTAGTCAAACACTGTTGCAAAAAGGGGAAACATCCTTTCCTCCATCTTCATTTATTTTTCTTTTCCATAGTTTTCATTTTTCTTAAAACAAGCTAAAATTTTCTCAATTGACTTTAAAAGGTACATATTGCTTCCCTGCAGGGAAAGATTCAGAGCATTCAGCTTTTCAAACATATCACACAAGTATGCTAGTTTCACCAAAAAATCTTCAATCACAAAATTTTCAGCATACTCGTGGTCTTCCTTTTAAGAATAATATAAATTTCCTGTTGCAGTTCAAACGTACAAGACAAAACATTATCTTGAGAGAGCCATCGCTCTCTTGTGGTAATGTTTTGTAATTTCTCGAAGTTCTATAGTACAACAAAGACGTGTGCTCAGATCCCATATCTTCACATAGTTTTTTGAAAAATCTTGTCTTTAATGGCCATTTTTATAAAGTTTACTACTTGTACTACATATTCTGGTTCAATGCAGGACTCAGATATTTTGATGCAAATGCTTTTGATGCATAGGTTTTTATGGGAATTTGATTAATTTGTTCCAGAGACTCCAAAAAATAAAAAAATATATACTTTTTTACTACCTTTATTTATATGTAATAGTAAAAATACATATATATGCAGTCTTGCATTTTTATTAGTCATATTCTTTCTATTTGTTGGGGTTAAAGAATCTGTCCAATGTCGATTGCTTTTCTCTTTTCTTCAGGATTTTTCAGAAGTAATTAATAGTTTTGTAATTGTAGAGATCCCCAACACCATTAATCTTATTCTGGTTTGGATGCCACTTGGATGATTGTTGTTCTGACATCCTCCCACTTCTTCAAAAGATCTTTAGTAGCAGATGTTGACATTGGTCCTCTTTCATCTTCCTCTTCTTCAAAAGAAAACATCTTGCTGAGTTTCTTGGTATTCTTCATTTGAGAGTTCTTGGCATTCTTCTGTCGTCAGATCAGTTTCAAGTTCCATTACGAGCTCTAAAATGCTCTTTATTTCTCAGATTTGATTTTCTTTACTCCATTAGCAGCTTGAGACTTCTTGATATATCTTTCATAGCTAAGATTGTGCCTACTGTAGACCTGTTCAAGCCATACTGCTTAGCAACATCAGACATCTTGTGCCACTCTCTACCTTGGCTATTATCTTTTACTTGGTTTCTACAGTGAGCACAGTTCTTGACACTCCTCTTTTTAGGCTCCATAATATTATCAGTTTCTTTTTTAAATAAAAAGTTCAGAAAAGCACTTACAAAAATTCAGAGAACAGAAATCAACTAGCCCACAAAAAATTATTTAAATGCAAGGTCCAGATGAAATTCGAAATTTGGTATTAAAACATTAATGAATATCTGATGGGACAGTTAAACTTTCACCCTTCATAAATAAACCCCGACGCAAAACTTAACAAGTACCTGTCCGACAGTCTCGCAAAGGCTATAAAAAATTATTTGTCAGAAAAGTAAACAAAAAGCTGGGTATGGAAGCATGTATTATATACCATCTCAAAATGCTAATATTGATGTTGTTTTTCAAGAAAAGGATCTTCCTTGTAATTCCACAAGGGAGAGTTTCAAAATTCGGAGGAATACTATCTGATCAGTATTGGGTTGAGTGTCGATGTTGATGTCTCCCACACTCCAAAAAATTTCGAACTGTTACCTGAAGACAAGGGAAAATCAATTAGTATTTGTTATTTTCTGTCGCTTCTTTTTATGTTTGTTCAGTAAAGTGTTCATTATCCAAACATGTGTTCATTGTCCGATCATAAAAATATTTCACGAAAGTGTTCATTATCCAATTTGTTCGCTATCTGAACTGTTTGTTAACCAATCACCCACTGTATATTCTTTGTTAACACATGGAATTGATGATATAATTAAGTGTTGCTGGTGAAGAATGATAACTTGTTTGATCCTATGGTTAAGTTAGAGATTTAAAAATTAGATTACATTTATTTTGTTTTTGAATGACATGATGAGTTGTTGAGAGTCAAGTTTTTGGGATTCTACTGTGTTGTGATTATGCTTTTACAACATAAATTTATGTAATATTCTCATTAGCTTATATTTAAGAAATCTATAAACAATTAAATTGTGTTGCATATTTTTAAACAATACTGTTTTAACATATATTGTTAATTACAAAATGAATGCTCTATTTCTAAGAACAAAATATTTGAAGCAAAACTGCCTAAAGTGCATTAAGTATTGAAAAAAACAACAACAAAACACAATACATATCTCATTTCATGAACATGGATGATACAAAAAAAAAAAAATGCATCACACAAGCAAATATTAGACTTAACATACTTTGTTGATATCCAAATAGTTTTAGCCTAGACAAATGCAAAACACTTCACATTGAAAAGGAATCTTGAAGAAAAACTTTTCATGAAAATGGCAACACATTCAATCCATGGATGAGGGAAAAGTCTACAAATATTTAAAATAGTAATAATGTCATCTTCACTTCTGTTAGTAAAGTAGGAAAAAGTAATGCTGTATGTAAACAAAGTGAAGTATTACACAGTCAAGCTGGGGATATCATTTTAAACATTTATAATTATTTTATTAGTAAAAATTTACTTTATTGCAAAGAGCAAGAATTTATAGCCTACTAGCATTGTAATTATCAAGTCACACATCTAATTATCTAATAGACTAATTGCTCATCAAAACTATCTTGAAAAGTTCATCTTTTGTTGAATAGACTATAAATATGTAATAAATGTTAAAATAAACTAAATGAATTACATAAAAAAAATGTTAATGTGGATAATATCTGTAGTATATCTGATGTTTAATTAAAGAGCTAAGTGGGATGGAGATAAATTTGAGGTTTGAGGTAGCCATTTCACCAGTGCAAATTTTGATGGAAATGATTCCCACACCAGAAGAAGAATAAATAAGTGGTGAATAAAGTAATTTTCATTAACATCATTGTTGTTTCTTTTACTAAGAAATTTACAATATCAACAAAATTGGTTCAAGAGTTGATTGCTTAGTTCTTAACCCCTGTAGAGAATTAAGATATGCTGAATCAACAAGGGCTTCTTAACAGTTCTTTTAAATTCATTATTTAGAAAGGGGAAACTACTGGAAATTTATTAGCTTTCAAGATACAAGTTTAAGCAGGTGTGTCTAATAAGTTTAATTGATATAGAAAAATTGGGAGATAACTAAAGGTAAGGCATATGTATACATGTGTGTTTGGTGATTTGCAGAAAAACTAATAGCAAATGAATATGTGAAGCACATAATGGATTTTAGATGATTCTAAAACACACTCTTAGTAAGTTCAGATGAATGAAAGCTGTTAGATGAGCTCATTTAAATGTAATTTAAAACTGTCAGATAATCCATAACAGTGTGTAATCTGCAACCACTTTAAAATCAACCTTAAAACAAATACTCACTGGAAATTACAGTAATTATCTACAATCAGAAACAGAGTTGATTAAAATCACATTACCCATAAAATTTAATCTAATGAATATGCTGATATGTCTAAAATAAGAACATCTTTACTTAATAAAAAAACACTACTCAAAACTCATTTAATTCTATTACGACATTACAGATGATCATTTTTAAAGTAATAATTAGTATAATATATTTATAATAAATAAATAATATGAAAAATTTAAATATATTCTTAAATAATTCTGATTAAAGCATTTTAAATGTAATTTAAAACTATAAAATTAACCTTCATCATCTGAGTCTCATTTAAACTCCAGAATGCTTTTAGAAATTCAACGGAGGCATTTTGGGCAACATATACAATTTGTTGAGCACGTAATTCAGGATTCACAATATATTTTCCTCCATTAACAACTGATGCTACTGCATGTGATACAGCTCCTCCAGGTAATTGATAGAGATCACTAAAAGATGCTAGAATCACATTAACACCTCTGAGTGTTTTCCTCATTGATTCACAATACTGCAAAAATAAAAATTAACCTATTAATAAAACTCTTATTTATGCTATATAATAAAGTTTTGTTTAAAAATTTTTATGTTATTTCAATTTGTTATTTATTAATAAAAATTTATGAATTTCTTTAAAAACATTATAATCTATATTAGAAATATGGTAATTAAAATATATAAAAGTCACAGTTCTACAATTAAGTTTCTATAAACAAAATATTATATATAATAATTATCATTTATTAAATTCAGTTTTTATTTTATAGTTTCCTGAATGAATTATATACATATGTTTTATATATTTTTCTGGAAATTGGGAAAATAGAATATCTGGCAAGCAGAGAAATTATGAATTTATAAATGGGATTTGGAAGAAAAGATAATTAACATTAAGGGCTTGACTCCCTTTCTAATGCAGTGGAAATGGTCCGCAGGGAAGTGCGTAAAGAAAGAAAACAGAAAGAACAGCTTATTAGGGACAAATATCAACACACTTAAGTTTATTTTTGTTAAGTATAAATAAAAGAATTTTAAATTGCAGATAATGACAAGTTTTTACATTTGGATTTTGTATTTAAACTGATAATATTCAAATGTCCAGTTCTAAATCTTTTGAAATTATTGTAGATATGTTCAATATTCTAAATTCAGCAAAATGCAGCCTTTGATTATGGGCTTGTCAGCTTGAAAATGCTTAGGTTAGAAATTTGTTAGTTAGAATATTCCCAAAAAGCAGTAAAGATCCAATTTGACAATATTTTAATTTTAAGCAACAAAATATGAAAAATATGATTAAAGCAATAAACTGACTGAATTTTAAAGCAAAAATCCTCTCCACTATGATTCAAATATCTGTTGTTTTTTAATAAAAAGTAAGTCAATCCTGAAAATTTTTAGCTTAACTGGGTTTCCAGAAAAGGGCTGGTTTATTATATTTAAAATACAGGGGGAGAAAACCTCAATATTTAGTCTAGAAATTACAAACAATTTTGTTTATAGATAAGTACTGAATTTTTTATAAAGCATTTCTACACTTAAACATTAACTTACATTTAAATTTGACACTAAAAGATAAGCTATTGTTTATTCATAAATTTAATCTATCAAATTACTTTAATCATTAACTTAAATATAAAAGAAATATCTAATTTAACTTAACTGGTCTTTAAATCATAAACCTGTTTACTTGAAAATTTTCAGCAATTATTATTCCTCACTTTGGTATTGTTTTCTTGATTTTACTTCATAAATAATTGCTTCAATCATCATTATTAATTCAATTTTACACCATAAACACATTTTTAACTTACAATTCATTATATTTGTTAGTACAAAACAAATATAATGAATGCAATTCATACTTTTGAAGTATACTACTTAGAAATACAAGGCTTTTGAATTAATTTTGCAAAATTTGAAAACTAAAATGTTACTTAAATTTTATAAAATATTTGTATATTTGTATACTTTTAAAAATTTTTGAATTAATTTAAAATGTATGCAATATCTTTATTTCAATATGATATCAATATTATCACACATACATCAAAATGATTAAGTGATTCGGTAATATTCGTGTATCATATCATATGGAATGTATAGCATTTTATAATAGATATATGAAAGATTTGTATATAACTGATAAAGAAAACTATACACAATTCCATACATTTAAACCAATATTATTAAAAATAAGCTTACCAAAAGATTTCATTTAGAAGATCTTATCTGTAAATTTACTCTAAATTTAGTTCAGAAAATTTTCCACTACTCTTATATAAAGAATCTTAATAATTATAGTCAATTTTATTTTGAACTTACATAGAAACCATGACACCTGCCATAAAAGCCTGTCTGATCAATATTACAATATTCCTGCAATAATTCAGTAGCTGTCAAATGTCCATCGCAGGTAAACAATTCGCCTTTTTTGCTCCTAACCAGCATCTTAAAAAGATAAGCAAGAGTAACTCTCAATCCTCCGAACACACCCGTATGAGCTTCTAATTCTTTTAAATAATGTTCGGATCGAAAGAATATCGACTCTCTATGCATTACGAGAGTCTTGCATAATTTCCAACAAGAATTTAAATGGCTGTTTAGAATATATAAATAACTTCTATAGCCATTGCCTGGAGTTTTCTCGTCGAAATCGAAATTCATTACTACTTGACACAAACTGTCAACGTGAACGGAAATCCATTGATAATGTTCCAACATCAGATTTAAAGCATCAACGTATCTCGGGGATAAAGATGTCGGATCTTCTCGAAAATATGCTAAATTGTTGGTTATTAACAAAGGTAAACTGTCACAAGAAACGTCCTGATGAAACATGGTCAAGCCTCACTCGACCTCCGGTTGAAACTGATCGAATCTACTCAGCCGCTAATATAAGCGTGCTCGATACGTCATAGTGACGTAGATACACGTCAACATGACGTGATCGATGACGAAACATTGATTAATGTATTTCGACTTTTTCGATCGCAACCTTTGCGATGAAGCAAGATCTACTCTTAAAGTTCTTTTATTAACGAACTTTTATAACATTTTAACTGAATTTATAAAGAAGTTTTTTCCTAGTACAAATTGTTTTTATAAATTTATAAGTATTATTCTCTCTTTACAGTAAAAATATAGTCTACTAAAATAATATACGTATACATTATTTATATATAACTGTAATAATAAGTGTATATATAATATATGTGTATATTAATAAATTTATATTAGCAATAAAGCATAAGCTGATATTTATATTGATATTTTAAACTGATTATTGTTATCTGTAAAAGAATTTATTATATGAATAATTCAGATATTGTAAAAACTCAAAGTATGGGACAATGGTTATTTAGATAATTCTCAGTACAAAGTTCAAATTAACCTGATAAAAATATTAATTAATGCAATAAATTCAATTATAAGAAAGAATTGCAACAGTTTGATTTTTTAAAAAATCTAAAATAAAGGTATGAATTAATTAATTGAAGAAATACTTAAATAATTACTTAACCGTTTGATTAATTATACGATTAACACTCGTAGTAAATGTATCATATTTTGATTAATATATTTAAAACATTTTCTCGGATCGGATATGATAGACCCTGCTCTAAAAATTAACGATATGCGTTATCGTTCATTTTTAGATACAAAATCCGAGGTTGATAGGATAGAATAGTGGCTTAATCGGCCTTGAACTGAATGTTTTGCAGATACTTTCATATACTTTTATATTTATTAACCAGTATGAAATGTATGTCAACTAAATAAAACATCTCTAAATCGACTTTTCCTTCAATACATTCCCTCCAAATTCTTTATCTTTAATTATAATCATGCAGTTATATTTTTGGCAAAGACCTATATTTATATTCAACAAAAATATCTAACATTCAATTATATATATCCTACAGGTAATTTAGAGGCATTGATTTTTTTTTTTTTTTTTTTTTGTCTAAATTAAGAACATTAAATAGAAATATTTCTACAGGACAGATCCAGATTATTACAATTAATGCCTTCAAATGACTTAATAAAGTATTTCCCCGGAATTCAGAAGTTTTTTCGATTAGCAAGGAAGATAAAATTCCAATTCAATGACTAATTTGCATATTAATTAATTTTGTAAATAATTATAAAAGGTTTCTTTTCTTACTCTAATTTTAACCGGATCTTATCATTTGAAATTAATCGATTTTGATTAAGCTTTCAAAACCTCGAGTTTCTCAGTTTTCTTGAGACTCACGGAACTATAACTAGAGTAAAAATTATATTGAATTATATCAATTGAACTGAATAAGACACTGAAAAAAGAATAAAATTAAAAATGAAAACCCTATAAACAAATACAATACTAAGTTCTATTTTATTTCATCTGGGACTTACTTGAATATCTAGCAAAGAAACGAATGATCCAAACTGCAAAAATTGCTTTGGGATAAGACCTAATTCCGTGAAGCATAGAATCAAAATTTATAAAGCAAGATAACAGTTCATAATAGGTTATATGGCTGGTTTCAATCTTGTTAATTACAGACATGTCTGAAAAACAATATGCTTCTGGATGAACGAAAGATGAGATTTGAATACAATTTTTTGTGTAGGAGCCTTATGGTCATATCATAAGTAATTTAACTTTCCCGGCTGTTATAACAGAAAAAGAAACGCGGGAAATAATTGTAATAGTATCAAATTTTTACTTTCCAGGCTGTTATAATTTTCTAATCGCATCATACTTGAACCTCGAGTTTTTGAAATCTCTATCTCGTTCTATTCTATCTCTACCTCGCTTGTATTTCGTTTGATATTTTAGGGTAGGATAAAGATTAAAAAACGAAATTTGGCATGGTAACTTGTATATAGGGGACATTGATACTATTAAATTTTAGTGATTAATTAAAGGTTAAGAGATAGAGAGATACAGGGGTGACATGTGTCATATCTAGAGAGAGGTCGGACTTAATGACGCTTTTACTCGTGATTAGCATTTGCAATTTTTTATAAAACTAAAACTACTCTCAAAATTAAGCCTTTGCCATTTTATAATAATTAATAATATAAAAAGTTTTTTATAACAAATTCTCATAACAGATGGTGCCACACACAAGTTTATTTATTATTAGACTACTGTATAATAATATAAATGTTATTTTTTTAAATAAAATCTCATAATAGCCAGAGAAGTTGCTCAACTGTTGTTGGATTTTTTTCTATAGCACACCATAAAGGATCCAGATTCAAATTCTGTAATCGTTATTTTTTCTGACAATTAGAATCAGTATGTTATCGTTCAAACTTTCATTATATTGATAGATAGGTTTCTATTGTAAATTAAATTCTCTCCAAGAAAAAAAACTGATATCGTTTATATGTTTTATTATAATTTTGTGTCACGCATAACAATCTCATAGCAACAGGGCCATTCGATTGTTTTGTTTTGTTAAGTTATGGCAACGCAACACTTGGGTGATCTGCCTAGGGAGATCTTTTTAAGGGTAACTGGCCCCAATTCAGGCGTTACAGACGTGGAGAAAACCCGGAAAACTCCACGTGGCCAGCCCGTCCTGGTCAGGCGCAAACCCACGACCGAACTCCCTGTGTTCAGGGTACGAAACCGCTTGGCCACTGGTGGGCAAGAGCCATTCGAACCCTTACGACATGAAATACTTGATAAGTGAGTTCAAACCAGAGTTGACAACTGCTAGAAATTTTCCGAACTATACAAAATTTTAAACATTGTTCGGAAAACGAAAACTGTTGAGAAATGTTCTGAAAAATGAACGAGGAGTTGCGTGTTTTTATTTCAGCTCGTCCCTTTTCCTCAAGAGGAGTTCGTAATTGTAATTGTAATTATTTTCATTTCTTCTAGATTAAATATATATTTTTTCATTTTTGTCTCTTTCCATTTTGTGTGTACTAAAAAAAAACCTATTTAATCATATCCAATAATTGTGAGTTCGTCCAGGTCCACACGGAAGGTCAAAGTGGTGAGGGACGGGGCGGACAGTACATAAAAAAATCCTGAGGGTGCTCGCATGGATTCGATCACCGGTTCCCCAGTGCAATAGAATGAAACCTTACCTGCATCGACCATCCGGCTTTAGAAGGGCGATTTCTTTCGCACATCATTATTTTCAAGTTAGAGTGTTTTTTATACTGTTAAAAACCCTATTTATCCATTCCTTCTCCGCGTTTGAAGCTTATAAACCCATTGAATGTCAGACTCGTTTATAATAAATAATTAAAAACAAATACTAATACACTAAATAAACGCTTTTACATAACCTAACTTGCCTACCAGTGGCCAAGTGGATAAACCTACTGAACACTGGTAGTTGGTCATGGGTTCTCGTGCGCCAACGGGCTGACCACGTGGAGTTTTCCGGGTTTTCTTTACGTTAGTAAAATCTAAATGGGGGCTAGTTTCCCACAAAAGATCACCCGGGAAGCATTTCCTCCTCGGCAGATCGCCCATGTGTCACGTTACGAATAAACCAAACATAATCTAACTTTGTATAACTATTTTAAAAATTAGTAATCGCTCCATATAGAGGTATAAATACGTTACATCCTTTTAAAAATGTCCTTAATTATCTGGAATATTTTCGGGATCCCGTCATTGTATATAGCCTATATATATGCTTTTGTCAATTAGTTAAGAGTAATGTAATATAATATTTAGATCAATATAATCTAAAAGTATATTGTTCGAAATAAGAATATTACTATATACAGTGAATATATATATGTACTATATACTTTTAGATTATATTGATCTAAATATTATATTACTTTACTCTTAACTGATTGACAAAAGCATGCAGAATATATAAATTTTATTATTTTAAATAAAGGCATAGCTTTTTGAAAGAGAAAGCAGAGCGTTGGCGATTGAATGAACGTAACTGACAATAAAAGTTATGCTAATATAAAAGTAAATATTGAAGTGCACCCGAAACGTAAAAATCTACTTTGCATATGACAATTGAAGTATTTATTTTTGAAAATAGAATTTCAAGTGAATGAAAATATTCAGCTGTTTTTGAAGTTAGAACATTTGAGTTGATCCACGTTTCATTCATAACACTTTTATTAAAATAGGCTATGTAAACCTACCAAGTAATATTCTATTGAAAGAAACATTGTATAAACAAGAAGTATTTTAATTTCCATCTTCTCTTTTTATTTTTAATATAAAATGTTTAAAAATACATCTGTTTACGCATATAAGTCTAACATATACATGTATATGAATAATTATATATACAATTATATCTGATGTTTCTAGTAATTCAGCTTCTCATGAGGCACGGTTCCTTTGACCGTGCCTCATGAGAATTTATAAAGAACGCCCACTAGTACCGTATAAATCAAGTTTTAAATAAAATAATAGTGCCGAAAGTAATTGTTAGCACTTAGTCAATTTGTCATATCTTCAGCTGCACAAACTGCAATTAGACCTATTTACTCGTAGGAAGACACAAGCGCTTCCTCCATAAAAATAAATATTTTAACTTGCTATCTGCTTCTCAATGGTTGAAGCAGTTAGAATAACTGCAACGGGTCTATTTTAGAAAACAAAATTTTCATGAAATAAAGAATACATTTCTTGTGGAGTGCAACATACAGGCCTATAATCTAAGTCGTGACTACCTGTAAACAATGAGGTCTAGATAACAAATGGGCCATTTCGGATAAGAGAGCTGGATTTTTTAATCGTTTAACCTTCAAAACAACATACAAGCAACAAAAAGTAACGGTGCCCAGCGGAATTTTTCTTGAAAGCCGCACATGAAATCATTACTTGTTTGTTAGCAAAGTTATTAAATAAAATTGCATCTTACAAATTCATAGATTTTGCAACAATAATTTAATAATTAATTGATATAACAATACAATTAGGACGTGCATACCTGGAGCTTGACAATTTGTGCTGAAAAATCGTTTATGGTGATTACCAAAAAATAAAAAGACAGTTACTCTATTGATGTTTTGGATGCGACTGATGGAGGTGCACTCTAGTAAGGGGAATGTTCTCGTGCAGAGCTGCTAGCGCTCTTATTATTATGAATATAGAAGAAATATAGGTGAGGTTAGAAACATGGGTTATTAAGAGATATTTATTAAAACCATTTTTTTCCTCTCTAATAGAAAAATATACTTTTGTCATCCTAAATAGTCTTGTCGTATGTGAGCCGGCATGATGTCAAATTGTTTACAAGCTTTAGATAAAATTTTATGTAACAAATAGCATACAAGGATATCAAAAATTATTTATCTTTAGTAGGTATCTCCTTTATACATGATTAGATTACAAATATTCGAAAATACAGTATAATGAAAGGAAGACATGATCAAATTGACCGGTACAGAGTACCCAACATGTATCTTTCACGTAAATTTCGCGTTTGTTACGTGCAGCCTTTATGGTATAGCAATTTTAATAGCTAGCAGTGTATATATAAAATTTATTTAGACAGTTTTTTTAATTTAAAATATATACATATTTTCCATTTTCTACACATAAATATAAAGCTTTAGGTTAAGTCAAATTATAAACAATTTTCTTATTATAGTGGGCCTAGATATTTATTTTTAAAGAACGAAGAATCCAATGAAGTAAAACTCATATTTTTGTAATTTCTAAAATCCTACTGTTTATGTTGTGAAAGTTATCGAGAACTTTTGATCCGAGAAATGTATTTTGATAGTTTTAAAATATTTCTTAGTTATGAATAAGTGTTTGTTTTTCTTTACAAACTGATGAGTCGACAAGTGTATTGTGAGATATCGGAGATAGGTTGTGTTTGTTTCTATACGTATGGTTTTTGATGTATATGTATATAAGAAAAGTTATATGGTATATATATTCATACATATGTCATATAAACATCGAATAAACAAGATATTTTCTAATTTAAGACATTTACATTCAGTACAACTGTTTATCAATTTATTTTCATTATCTAATATTATACCTTATGATGTCATAAACTGTTTATCACTTTTATCTATTAGTAAATAATAAGTTATCTGCTCAAAACGTATGCGATACTAATTTTTTTTAAACAAGTTGTTTTTAATTTATTATAAAAAATTAATGTTTTTGCTTCTATTTTAGTTTATTATATCAATATTTAAGGTTACTGAATGGGCATAATACTTGGCATAATACATTGGGCTAAATACTTGTTTGCTTTGTTTCTGGAAAGAAAACATTCATTTGAAATAAGATCTGAAATAAAAGCATTGATCGTAGTTAATAGTTTATTTAGCCTTTATTCCCAATGGTATTGATTTGTTTCGATAAAATGATTATATGATATAAATAAATCTGATTTTAAAAATTATGATGTATAAGATGAATTTTACTTATTTCTGTTTTGTTAATTTGATTCGTTCAATTTATTTATATTATTTTTTATATATNTAGTTATAGTTAGTTAGTTAGAGTTTTTTCATGGCGCTCAGTTATATGGGCTGTATACATCTAATGCAGTAATTATAAAATTTACATACAAAAATATAAGGGGTACTTGAGAAACAATTAATGGGCTAATGGGTACATCAACAAAAAAGGTTGAGAACCACTGCTGTAGACCCTTAACATTTTAAGTTAGTTGCATTCCGTGCCCTTGTTACAAGAGCATACACACATTGTTTTGAGGTGTCAGACATCAACAGTAAAACTGAGCTCATTAAGCATGTAGATACAGTCATTCTTTAATCAATACTCTGGCTTCCACACATCAATTTACTTTAGATACCACCAAAATGCAGGTTAACAAAGGGGACTTTAATCATGTAGTTTTAAGTTATGAACTGTCCCTGCATCAACTTTATTGTAAGATTGCTAGGAATTTAAATTTGGTATTAGTGTGTAAGAGAAAACTCAACGTTTTACACCTCTTATTCTAATGAAAACAACAGCATGAATGACACTAAAGCACCAAGTGTATACCATATCCCATTACAAGATGGATAGTTTAATACGCAATTGTTGTACATAGGATCCACATACAGATACCCACAAGCCAGAATATGTAACCACAAATACAATGTGGCCAAGAAGAATTTCAAGATAGTGCTTGCCCATTTTGCAGCCGAACCTGAGGTTTCCCTCTGCTGGGATGAAGCTACACTTTCACACAAGGTAGTTGATCGACACGACTTATGATCCTTGGAGGCTTTAGAAATCAAACAACACTGGGTTAAAGTAAAACAACAAACGTACTGGTGAGCCTGTTACCGGTGTGCTTCTCAGAAAAAACAGACCCATTACAAATGCTTTTGAACTTGGAAGTTCTTCTTCAGGTAACTAATGACTGACTGTTAAACGAATGTGATTCAAATTAAAATCAAATTGGAACACCATTCAGAATTCTATTGCGTGGATATCGATAACGTCATTCAGGCATGCGTCCCTTTAACAACTGTAGATTATCGTAGACGGCTAGAGCGGTGAAGGGCCTTGCATGTAGAATATCTGCTACGTGTTCTCCCAGGATAACCATGTTCCTTGGTTATCCTGGGATCACACATAAATTGATCCGCAAATGGCACCACTGCAAAGAACTAGACCTTATCCAGGCACCCAACGAAGTTCCACCTAACATCATCCCAGTTACATACAATCGTACCTTAAATCACTATACAATGCGGTAGCTAAGAAAAAGAATATTCGCATCACCTATAGAAGATGTGCTACAATATTTGACATTTTACAGATGAAAAAAACACCCCCAACAAAGAACGACTCCCGGGTGTGTATACCATCCTGATCATGGACCATAGATGGGATAGAAGCTTGATCTATGTAGGATCCACCAAGCGCTCCCTTGAAGTGAGAATGAAAGAACACATAGCTGATATTCTACATGCAAGGCCCTTCACCGCTCTAGCCATCTACGATAATCTACAGTTGTTAAAGGGACGCATGCCTGAATGACGTTATCGATATCCACGCAATAGAATTCTGAATGGTGTTCCAATTTGATTTTAATTTGAATCACATTCGTTTAACAGTCAGTCATTAGTTACCTGAAGAAGAACTTCCAAGTTCAAAAACATTTGTAATGGGTCTGTTTTTTCCGAGAAGCACACCGGTAACAGGCTCACCGGTACGTTTGTTGGCTTTAAAAATCTATATTGCCGAGAAGGGACTTAGCATTAACTCTGATGGCATTACAATACTGCAAGCATGGAAATATTTTATAGATTCACACAGAATTTAATGGTTTTAACTTTATTATTTAATATCATGCCATGTAAAAGCATTTAATTAATTTTTATTTTTTATGCTTTAAACTCTGTCACACAACACGTATCGAATATCTTTTTGAAAAATTGGAATTTCTATCTTAAACACAACAGTATTCTCCATAGAATGATAGAAATGTTTTTTTGCTTTATTTCCTGATGAGGGTCTCTAAAATGTGGCCGAAACATTAGAACATTATGGCTATTTGCTGGAAATCACATATAGGTGTTAGTTTCACTGTTGTACTGTTCCAGTTTTGCTGTGTACTGTTATTTAAATAAATAAATATAAATATATATACAGTAGAGCATCGATTATCCGACCCCTGATTAACTGTCACATCGATTAACCGACCGTTCTAGTCGGCAAATTCAAATGTCCGCTAGTGATGTGGCGCTACAATATTTGGCTATGTCTTGGCTACTTTAATAATACTTTTACATGTTTTAGCTGGCAACACTGGCTCGACCATTGAAGGGAGGCCAGTATTTAAACCAGACTTAATTTTTTAATTATGAGTGGTTGTTTGTTTTGTGAGCAATAAAATAATTTAAAAATAATTTTTAACGATACAATAGCGACAACTACTATTTAAAAAAAAATTTTTGTTAAGCTTAACATCAATGAAAATTCAACGCAAAGTAGGTTAATAGCAATATACTAATACAGTAGAGCCTCGAAAACTCGGCCTAATGTGGACCGAAGGGTGGCTGAGTTTGTGAAAATGCCGGGTTATTGGGAATGGCGTTAAAAAAATAAGTACGAGTGTGGAGTCCTCAGAAAATACTGTACTATACTTGTATGTATTGTTTACTTGAGAATACAACAAAGAATAAACTGCCCAAATATCCTTAAACAAAGGAAAAGTACGTCTTTTATGAAGACATAGAGCCTTTACTACATGAAAATAAAAATTAATGAATACACTGTACAGTAATTTACCTGATAAGACAGACCTCAGAAAAATACTTTATGAGGCTTAAAGCTGTCTTCATCATGAAAATTAATTAACTAAGGATTTTTTTGCCCTGCCAGGGTGTGGCCGAGTTATCCAGAGTGCAGGGTTATCGAGTGCCGAGTTTTTGAGGCTCTACTGTATACTAATTACATGAGATATACTAATATACTATACTAATAATGTATTTTTTCATATTTTTCGGTTATCCGTTTTTTCAGTTATCCGACCAACCCCAGTCCCCAATTGAGTTGGATAATCGATGCTCTACTGCANTATTATTTGTAAAATTATTTTGCAAATAATAATCGGGTTATATTGCCACTACTAATAATTATTAAATACAGAATAATTTGGTATTAGAGGTAGACATTAGGCGCCATCTCTTAATAAAATTAATAATTACTATATAATTAAAATTAATATTTATTACATAATTTAGAAAATTCTTATAGAAAAGAATAGGCCCGGAGCAAAACTCGAACCAGCAACGGCCGCTTACCATGTGGATGCATTGCCAATTTCCAAATTATTTAATAAATATTATTAAAATTAATAAGAGATGGCACCTAACGCCTACTTCTAGTGCCAAATTACTCAGTATTTACTCATTATTAGTAGCGGTAATATAGCCCAATTTAATCCGATATTGGTTTAGCTTTAATATAATTAACGGGCTTTGAGATGTTTATATGTTTTATTTGTAATTTAATATAATTGTAATTAATTAACTATTCAAACCTTTCTCACAAATATTGCCCACGTAAGTAGTCAATAAACAATCACACTTTGTTTTGTTTTCATTCCAAAGTTCAATACACACTCCATTATGTAAACATGAAGACTTATGACAAATAGTTTGACATTCTTCTTTAACATTACCTGATAAAAGAAAAATAAATAAATAAATAAATATATTTGCCTTGATACTGTATGTATGTATGTATATATTAATTCTATATATTACTTGAGACTGAGTTCTGTTTGGATTAGCCAAATAATTGAAATAATGCACAAGCAGTAAAACAGGTCTGGTTTATATTGTGATAATAGGGCAATCTTGGGGACAAAGATATAAATTTTAAAACAAAATCTTTAATTTGCTTGAAAGGATACAGGTTACTTTTCGAGATGCTAGCCAAGATCTCTCCCAAAAATGAATATACAATAAGAGGCAAACTACAATTTATACATAAGCTGTTCCCAACTATATTTACTTGGTACAGTTCTTTCTTTCAGTCAGCAAATCAAGATGTATTATCAAATTAAATGTGTGTGTGTGTATATATATATATATATATATATCTTAGAACTAAGTACTTAAGACTAACAATAACAAGTTTATAAAAAGAATTAAGTGAAAAAATGAAGAACCAGGACAGAGGATAGAAAAGGGGTACCCAAAAATCTGTGTCAATGTTCCATTATGGTGGTGTGATCATCAGCCATATTGTAGTTTGTATATAAAATAAAAAATGCTCAGCAAATAAACTCACATAAACAAAACACCTTAATTTGTTGCCGAGAAATATATATACTTGAAACAAACAAACATTTTCAGCCTGATTAACAGGCCATCTTCAGGTCAAAAAACGAAAATGGAACAGATATGTTCCATGAATAGAATACAAATATTTAAATCAAAATTTAGAACAAAAAATTTTTAAAAATTATACAAGAAAAATTAAAATTAACATAAAATAAAATGTCATAAATCTTCCAACAATTCTAGTCTGAGTTTTTAGTGAACTTTTTAACCATGTACTTCCATGTGGACGGCAGGCTCTCAGCATCTCTCACATTTAAACATCCTTCATGTAGCTTACTTCTATATATTTCAATCTTCTTTGCCATCATTGATAAAGTTGGGGAAGATAAAGGTTTAATAATTGTTGCCTCGTCCCATTTCACTACTGAACACTGGGCTTGCGACATTTGAGATAAAATTGTAACATTGGATCCTTTTTTAACGTTATACAGTTGACCCCCCCTATAACACGGGTTCCTAAAGTTCGGATTCCTATATGATAACGAAAAAATTGCGACGGTATCCGTACAAACATGGTAAAAAAAAACTTATAATTCGGTAAAATGTCATCGAGCAGCCGAACTACTTTCTGCTGTCCAGCGCCACGCTACGGAGAGTTTAGGCGAGTAAGTTGAGTTTATTATCATCTGTACAGTATGTAAATTAGGTACCGCAAGTCTAATACAGCACTAATTTTATACATTTCTTGTGAAAGAAACATTTCTTATTCAACAGCCATAAAAATTATTTATATTAATGAATTAATCCATGTCTCCAAAGTTCAACGAAGTTTTTGCAGAAAAACAACTTATCAGAAATTGTGTCCGCCGTTTGGTGCGTTGCTCTGTGACGAAAATAAGCTTAAGCAATGGCGACGTCGAACGGTGCACACGCGGTAAGTAATCCTACAATTTTTTGTTTATAGCATAGTTTATACGAATTATTCCCAAAAAATTATACGTGTTTTGGAAATGTTGAGTCGAACTAGTCTAGGAATTGATTAATTTTATGGAAGAAAACCTTTCAAACAGCCGTAGTCCGTAAACTTCACATGTGTCGGGCTGTGATTGGCAAGGTCTCCTAAAACATCAATTTCATAAAAAACGGAACGTATCTACTGTGTTATAGGGGGGGTTGACTGTATCTATATTTTTTAGCCTTACTCCTAAGCTCCTAGTGGTGATGCCTGTATAGTCTTTCTTAACATCTAGTTGGGTGTTTTCATAAGGAACTTTATAGACGTCTGGTTTTTCTTCTGTTTTTATTCTATCTTTATCATTCCCCGAGATCTTATATAAATTTGGAGCTCTTTTTAAAACCATCCTTGATTGTTTTCGATTAGCAACTTCTTTCATAACACTATTCAAATGATTATTATATGTAAACTTCAAGCATCTATTGGAAGCTCTAAACATCTAATAATAGTGTGACACTTCGTGATATGTATCACAAATAGCCGCATGCGACACTTCTAACATACAAGCAGCGGCCCACGAAACACACAACATAAATAACACACAGTCTCGTGCGGTAGTTGAGTACAATCATCACCTCAACTCAGTTTACAGGGAGATTGCCGCCCATACTAACACTAAGATTGCATACAAGAGGCCTAGCACTGTATATGGGCTCCGCGGTGGCAAAGACAAAATCAATAAAAAGCAAGCACCGGGTGTTTACATGATCCCTCTATGGGACAACAGGTTTCAAAGGGAATTAGTTTATATTGGGTCCACAAAACGCTCTCTGAATAAAAGATTGCAGGAACACAAATACGACATCGTTAATAAACGGCACACCACCGCCCTATCAACATATGCCACTGAACCTGGCATAAGAGCTGACCTACATGAGGCCAAACTGATCAAACTTTCTCACCGGGTGGAACACCTGCAAAATCTGGAGGCACTGGAAATTTACAAAGCCGGGTTACGCACCAATTGCATTAACTCTAATGATGCGGTCAATGTGTCGCATGCTTGGAAGTACTGCTATGAGGTAACGGGCGACGCCCACTCCAGCAATTAAAGACCACATCCCCGTTTGGTGTATTTATTTATATATATTTATATAATTGTATGTATTACATATGCTATTCCGTCGCCATGCAATGCACGTGCATAACTGTATTCTTTTAAAATCCGTTTGTGCTGTTCCATTTTTCAAAATTAGTTTCATAATCATTATTCTACACTTGCACAGGTTCGAATCTAACTGGTTTTTAAACCTGATGAAGACCGAAAGTATGGTTGAAAACGTTCGTTTATTATTAAATTAATTACTACTGGACGTTTAAAGGTTTTGGAATGTTAATTTATATGTTTTCCAGTATTCACGTAAGAAGATTTTAGTACAAAGTTCCCTTTACCAACTTGTTATATTTTACACTTTTAATAGTATTTTATTTTACCCTCTCCTTTTAAATTTACAGGTATTCTGTTTTTATAGAATTTTATCATACTCCCCCTTTTATAATGTAGAGGTATACATTTTATTATTACTTTTATTTAAAACTCATTATAGTTTACTTAATTTACAATTCACATAAATATTTTATTGTACATTAAAATCCAGTTGCCACTATTAAACCATAATACACATGTAACTTTTGCCATCAAGGTAATATTGTGTTCATTATAACTTTATGTATATTTTTAACTATAACTTAAATTTTGTAATGTTTTTATAATCAGAGTTATGTAAAATAAAAAATAGCAATGAGGGACATATAATCTGAAATGCATATCCTCCAGAATTAATAAAGTCTGTATATCTATCTTCATTGCATGTTACTGTGTGATTCATTCTCTCAAGTAATCTCATGCTTACTACTAACAATTAAAACGAGAACAAGAAGCAATCAAGTACAACTAATATCATCATCTGCAATTACAATACTCAGTACATACCATATTAAAATAACATAATACAGTTATATTCTTTATTTCTTACAATATTAAGATCAAATTTACTAATGACAATTGTGTAATATTTACCTTGACTTAAATTGAACAATTGTCCTTTCAAATCATACAATTCATCTCCAATCTTCATGCCCTGAAGACAACCAATTAATCCAGGTATATGAGAAATTATTCCTTCATTCACTCCACCAATAAAAATTTCATAATGTGGAATTGTGGAAAAAGTTGCTCTTATTGGCTTAACTTTTTCTGAAAGAGAACAAAAATATTCATCTTATTGACTCATTTTTGCAAAATAAATTTTTTTCCAACTTTAAACTAATATCATGCTAAACCAAACAATTGCCATAATTAATTGTGATTAACTACTATTAAGTAATTTGGTACTAGAGGTAAGTATTAGGTGCCATCTCTTATTAAATTTAATACTTTTAATACTTTAATAAATTTAATAATTTAAATTTTACTAAATTTTTAGAGATGGCATCTAACACTTACCTCTAGTACTACAATACTAAACTTCTCTTTCTTAAATTATTTTTGAGTGTATTGTCTTTCAAGTGTATCAGTAATAATGTGTACAGTACTGTACATCATTTCACTTGTGCCTGTGTTCATGTTCTGTTTCTAATTTAATTACTTCAGTCAACATATTAATCTTTTCATTCCTTTCTGTAAAAGACTCTTTGGCATTATATTCTACCAATCGTCTTCCAAATACTAACACTAGGAAGTCGAATGCCAACTCATCTGCAGATTGTGTGTATGAGATCCAAGTTTAAATCAGACTCCACTACAAGACTTGCGACAAAACTTTATTATACGAGGCCCAGAGCAGTTGTATTGTACATTTACACCTCAGACAACACATAGGCAATAGAGTGAATTTGATTTGCACACTGAGAACAAGTGTTGCCAACCAATTCCATTTTTGGACAATGTTGCCAGTTGGACTTTTGTATTTCTGGCCACCAAAACTCTCTTGCCATAAGTAATAAAGACTCTATTTTTATTGTATTGCCTTTCATTTCCCGTAACATCTCTCTTATTTTTTCTAGAAACAGTTCCTGATCAAAATTCTTCATATTATCTTTACCTTTAATGGCACTTCTAGTGGAACAAGTTCTCAAACGTTTCCCAAGTGGTTTCCTCACTAACATTGCACTTCTCTTAAAAATAATCTCTTTTTCTTTTTCGTTAATCTGAACTTTATTATCTTTCACTTTAACCAATTTTTCCATATCACAAACTCCCCCAAAATAACTTGTATGCCAATATCTTTGTCTCTCTCACAAACCACAAACTACCAGTACTAGCAACCACCAACTCAAAATGATATTCTAAAATAATATTCCCAAGTCTGAGTTAACTTGGGATGGTACATTAGGGGGTTAAATAGAAACATTTATTGGAATATCTCAGTCATGTAAGCTAAAATATCTTAGGCAAAACTTAAAAGTTTTTAACAATAATTGACTTGGAAATGTTCACAAGAGAACTAACAGACATATAAATAACACTGTATTCTATTGAAAAGTAAAAGTTTATGGGTCTATCAGCATCTTTGCATTTTGCATCTGCCAGACACAAACAATAACTTATCCAACCACAGTTATGTCAGAAATAATTCTAGAGCCATTTTTTGATGTTGATAAAAAAATTGCCACAGATTATACATGGCAGCCTGTAATCTCACTACTGAAGTTCAAAGGTTTTTAACAATTAATTCATGCAGTATAGACAGGAAATTATGGATATTTTAGAAATTAACTGTACTAGTGTTCGTACGATCAATTGGACAGCAAATGGAAATATGCAAAAGTATAAATATTTCATTTAAAATTTTAGTATCAAAAACATTTATTATTTATCATTGATAATAGTATAATAAAACCTATATCTTATCAGTGAAAAATTTATATTTAAAACAAAAACTTGCAAGTTTTTGTTTTAAAATTGTTTTTTTACTGATTGTTTTTGTTAAATTTAAATTTTTTTTTACTGATAAAGACATTGATTCTATTTATTTACATTGTCAAATTTTTATCCCAAGCAGAAGTCAAGCTATGGTTTTTAGCAAATCCTAGAATAAATTATGTATTTGTTTCTAATGGTTAAAGTTCTAAACTAGAAATATTAAATACATTATCTTTGCTTTTAAAAAATATACGCCTGAAACTTAATTTGTTTTATTAACAAAATCTTTTTATCATCCTTTAAAATTTTATCTCATTTATTGTTTGTATTCCTGTCTAATGCTAACTCATTGAATGAAAAATGTTCATTAAAAACATTGAAGATTTTAATAAATGTTCTTCTCTTCCAAAAATAAGATAGAATAGAATATTTTCTATTTTTTCAGTTTCTATCACCAAATAGTAATTAAGTTGATAATTTAAATTAAAGACAAAGTCTGTCAAAATACAGTTACCATTTATTCACTTTTACTGTTCCATAGTTTTACTAGTTATAATTTTAAAAATTGTTTGTTTTTAATTAAATATTTATTCATTGATTTTAAAAAGAAATTTTTAAAATTAGGTGACCAAGTAGCCTCAAAGATAAGTCAGTTGTCAAAAGTTGCATTCTGGAACAGTGAAAGTGAATAAATGGTAACTGCTATTTTGAAAGACAGTCTTTAATTTTAATTGTAAGCAGTGGTGATATTCGAAATATTTAACAAAGGGTTCGCTGACAGAAAATTTTTCCTTAACAATTTTTTTTCGCTCAAATGGTGCATTAGCAACATTAGTGCAAAAACTGACCTTAAGATATCCATATAAATAAAAAAGATGCGTTCGCAAAATTAAGTCAGTTAAAATTGAACATTGTTTATGCCAGAACTATGTATACTTTTTTATAAATACTAAAAAAGAGTGTTCAAAATGGTTTATTTTGTACATATTTTAATATTTTTCATTCAAAATATTTTATAAACATAAAAATTGGCTTTTTTTTTAATCAGAAAAAGTCATAGGGAAAGCAGTTAAACAAGAAAAACTTTTCTAAATCATTTATTTTATCGTTAGGTATTATTATAAAAATAGACAGATGTCATCATCTCTCGAAATACAATATATTTCTTACTTCACTGTTGATAGCCCGACATGTGCTCCGCAGCCATCTTGTATTTTCTCGTGCATGTGGGATTGTGGGATCTCTCTTATGACTGGATCTAGTTTTGATAACTCTCTCGAGTCGATCGCGATTGAACCTCGTTTTAGTCGAGATTGAAACGGTCGATGGAGGTTGCACTAGGCGAACAGAATATAAGGCTCTAGTTTAGTAGTGTTACAGAGTATAATATGTATATTTTAATATATTTTTTAAAAGAAACAAAATCACTGAGAAATGTTACGTGCGTTTAACAACGGGTTCAGAAAACTTTGAAAATGTTAACAACGGGTTCGGCCGAACCTGTGCGAACCCGCTGAATATCACCACTGATTGTAAGAATATTTTATAATTATTGGTAACTTCATTTCTCAGTAAAAAAGACTATTAAAAATTCTAAGATATAAATTATAGATAAAAAACATTTAATCTGGATATATAATAATAAGAAATATACTGAATTTTACTTTTATTTATGTTAAAATTTGGTAACAATTTTATCATTTGTACTCCTCACAAATATGAAAACTATTACAATTTTAAATAAAGACTTTCTAAGAAGAAAGAAAAGAATATAGTAATTTTATACATACAGTACCTAAATTAATATTTTCTATCCATGGTTGTTGATGATAATGTTGCAAAAATTTAATCGGTGAACTGACAATTGCTTTCCTTCCATTTACATTCAGAGTAGTCATATTTGCATTTCTTTCGACACTTATTTGTATTGGTTTACCTTTATAAATAACTGAAAAAATATTTTATATAAAATTTTAGTAACAATAAATTTTAAGTTATTATGTATTAAATATACATGTCATAAGAAAAATTCTACACTTTAAAAATATAATTATGTTTAATAATTATTCTTAAATATGATTATAGACTATTCTTAATAGTAATAAACCTTTTCAAAAAAATGCAAAACATATCAAACAGATCCACAGGGTGTCCAGATTGCTAAAATTGCAATGTGGAACTAATAACATGACGAGGAATTAAAGTTTAAAAATAGGTAGACAATCTTCACCTTTTGGACATAATGTAATTTTAAAATGTGTACAAAAATCAATGTTCAAAAGTCAAACAATACAGTTCATGTTATAAGGAGTTCTGTACCCAGAGTATTAAAAAAAATCTTTTATTGAGATAGAAAAGTTTTGTTTTACAGTGACTAGATTAAAATGTATTAAAAACAATATTTAAAACATTAAAACTATACTTTAAACATAGCATAGATAATAAAACTTATATACATACACATACAGTAAATGAAATAAAAGTTCTCTCTATAGGAGTGGTCAAATCACCAGATAGGCTGTAAGTAATTTACCAGTGCTGTAATTATGGATTCAAGAGTCCATCTTATTCACTGTAGAAAACTAAGCTTTGTTCAAACAGACATTCATTAGCAAAAGCAAAATATGAAAACAATTTGTTTTAGCATAATAAATTTGATTCTTGCTGTTGTTTTGGAAAATGAAAACAGCAGAATTAAACAAAAAACTGTTTCTACTAAACTAAAACTATTCTAAGAGATGATGTTCTTGTAGACTTTCGCCGGATGATAATTTATTTTTTAATCAAAAAAGACACAGTCTGCTCAAAATTTCTTTTTAAAACCACCATTTCTTCTGATTATGTGTTCAAGAACACCATTGATGACCAGACCTTTCTTTGTAGGCTACTAGGTCATCTGGCTAAAACATTCCTTTAAAAACACACAAAAAAAAATCCAATTAAAACATTAAAAAGTAAAGAATTGGAACTGGCGGTCTTACAGACGTCTTAAACTTGCATCCTTTCCAGTTAGGGAATTTCAGTCCTTTATATCCACCTGATAAATGCGCTGTTAAATGTAGATTTGGTCTTATCCCTCTGGTGACGAATTATTTCTAAAAAAGTTTTGCTTGTAGACTTTTTTAATCAAAAAAGACACAGTCTGCTCAAAATTTCTTTTTAAAACCACCATTTCTTCTGATTATGTGTTCAAGAACACCATTGACGACCGGACATTTCTTTTAAACATTAAAACATTTTTTTAATGTTTTAATTGGATTTTTTTGTGTGTTTTTAAAGGAATGTTTTAGCCAGATGACCTAGTAGCCTACAAAGAAAGGTCCAGTCGTCAATGGTGTTCTTGAACACATAATCAGAAGAAATGGTGGTTTTAAAAAGAAATTTTGAGCAGACTGTGTCTTTTTTGATTAAAAGATGATGTTCTTTTAGTTTATGAAAAATGTTAATCATTTTCCATAAATACAACAGTCACCAGTTATTGTGATAACATTGGTTCAAGACTGTTTTGATAATAATAAGTGGCTGTTTTGATAATAACCAGCAGCTATGATCTTGCAAGGCAGCTAATATACAGGTGCATGTGTTTACAGCAAGGACCAGTCAATTGAAATTTACAAGTCAATCTTGAAAAAATTTTTGATTGATTGCCACAATCTTTTCTATTAACAATTTTGTAATACAGTAGAGCGTTGATTATCCGAATCAATTGGGGACTGGGGTTGTTCGGAAAATCGATATTTTGGATAACCAATTATGTACGAAAAAATATATTAACCTATCCCATGTTGAAAATTTTCTCCATTGTGTGTCACTTCGCGCACTATTGTATCATTAAAAATTATTTCTTTATTTTGTACAAACAAAATAAATATATTGAAAAATATAAAAACAATAAAAAATTATACTTCAGAAGTTAATTTAGTATCAAAAACGTAAAATATTTGAGTAGCCCAAGACATAGCCAAAGATTGCAGTGCCACAGCACTGGCAAAAATTTAAATTTGCCGACTGGAATTCTTTCGGATAATTGACGTTTCGGATAATCGACGCTCTACTGTATTTGTTAATAAACTGCCATATTGAATTTTATACATTTACCATTTCTGATTCCCATGCACTAATCTCCAAACTTCAAGATATTCATTTGTCTGGGAACAAATACCTTACAGTATTTGATTTTGTATCTATGTTCTCCTCCATTCATTTGGAACCTTGTTTTTGTTCCTTGAAAGATTTCTTTCTTACTACTACACCAGGCACCCAGAGATTCCATTTGCAAATATTAGAACTTGCACACCTATTATGCTACTCTTCCTCTTTTTACTTTGATGGACATATGTATATCTAAAAAAGGAAGGTAGCTATGGGCACCATCTCAGGATGTTTGCGAGCTCATCCTACAATGCTTAGAAGAACTGTTTTTGATAAACTTTAAACCCAATATCCTTATATATACTCATTATGTAGATGATATTTTAATTATATAGAGAACTAAATCAAATGTAGGGAAGGTGTTAAAAGTTTTTAACAACAATGGCTAAGGAGTAACACTAGAATTAAATCAGGCAAGTGACACAGAAGTCAGTTACTTAGACATCAAGATTTGTGTAGTAAATAGAAATGTAAGAACTACAATCCATCGCAAACCTACATACTAGGGTTTTTCACTTCCTGGTCTTTTGCTTGTCCTGGGTTTCTGGGATAAAAGTGAACTGTTTCCCAGGATCCTGGGAAATTCTGGGACAAAATTAATTATTTTTAAGATATACAAATTATCATGAAATCAAATAATATAATTATTTTTCATTTTTTTAAAGTAATTTAATATGTTCTGCAACCTCCAAAATTATATTAATAATGCTGCATAAGATATATATTAAAAATTACCTTTGAATTAATTAGAAATTTTCACAAATAGAAAAAATTTATTACAGTTTGTTGGAAACTGCATACAACAACAACAACAAAATGCTTTGAACTCTGATCAGTCAATCTGATTGTTATTTTAGTAATGAAAAGTCCTGCTACTGAGAATGCCCTTTCCGATTTAATTGATGTTAGTGGAATCGTCTTTAATGCATTTAAGAGAAGACAGATGTTATGTTTTTTTCATTTGTAGCCTGGAAGATTTCTAGTTCGTTTTCGAGATTGCAGTACTTCTTTTGCTCTCTAGTATTCTTGATTTGTCTACCTTGGCTGCTTTAATAGAAACATCAAGTTTATTACCCGATAATTTGGCAGTTCGTTTGGCTTTAATAATCAGGTTTATGAAGAAAAACATCATACTTGCAGACTTCGTACTCGTTTGTATCCTTGCCCAATTTGCGCAACCTGGTGTTACGCAGTTATCGAAGCTGCTGGGCATAGTTAAAAATTAAGACAGCATAAGCACAATTATTCCAGATATTACAGATTCTGACAAATAAAGAATTTTCAGAGTCCTGCCACAAATAAGCTACGTACTGATTATTGACCATTTGTGACATGCCATAACAGGGAAAAATTAAAAAAAACTAATAAGTAGGTTTAAAATTAATAAATACAAATGTATTCTGACAGTTTATGAGTTAATTATACTTTCTATTTGCAAAATTTCCTCAACCTTAACACAAAATAAGAAAAAAGTGAATTTTTAAGAAATTTGCAGGATTTTCCGGGATGAGAAGAATTTCCAGGTTAAAAAACAACTGGGATCCCAGGATCTCATTTGAGAAACCCTACTACATACATTCCCCTCTTTATACCTGTTAACTCTGTAGACCAGTGGTTCTCAACCGGGGGTACATGTACCCCTAGGGGTACGAGCGTAAATCGAAGGGGTACATCTAACTTTCATTATAAAATGGCGTATGTTAATCAATTTGCTGTAAATTATTAACACAAGAAACAAGAAACGACAAAAACTTGCTTTAAAATATCCCAGTGTGAACACCGATTTCCCTTTTAATAGTGTAAACAACTTGTTTATCCACTGTTTGTGNGTTCGTTAACTGGGGTTCCACTGTACTGGAAAGCTTTAAAAAAAATCTTGTTTCAGTATGGCCTTTGAGATGAATGTCAAGTTTGCCTGAATGTCTGCCCTTTCATTGACAACTTCAATTGTCAAAACAAAACAAAAGTTGGCTGGAGCCAAATCAGCTGAGTAAGGCTCAACAATTCCATGCATAACAAGAAGCTCCTTCACTACTGCAGCAATACGAGTCTGTGCATTGTCATGGAGATGAAACCAATATCCAGTCTTTGTAAAAGGTGGCTGCACACCTTTAACGTAAATCAGCAATCAGTTTAGAATTTCTCTATAGAGTTCGCCATTCACAATTTATCCTTCTGAATGAATTCCTTGTGGATCAAGACATCTTTATCAAAAAAGGCAATGAGTGAAGTTTTCATCTTCAATTTTGCAAACCAGCATTCTTGAGACATCTGGCTCATCTCCATTCCCTGCTTTGTCTTTTCGTTGCTGGGTCATATTGTAAACATCTGGTCTTCATCTCCTGTTACTATCAACCTCAAAAATACAGGATCATTGTCACCTGTGTCAAAAAATTATTGCATGTATCCAGTCTTTCCTACTTTTGTTTCACTGTGAGTGCATAAGGCACAAACCTGGAACAGATCTTGCATTTCCCTAAGTCAACTGTCAATATCTGACAGATTGTTTTACGGTTTACACCTAGTTCTTCAGATATTATGTGAACACTGAGTCATCAATCCTGCAATATCAGACCACAAAATTGCAATAAAAAATACAAAAATATTTTAAAATTTACATATATAATACAGTTAAATAAAATCTTTTTTTTGTATTTCTCTTCATTTTACTCTGTATTATAACTAAAACCCATATGTATCATCCTACGTAAATACCATGTCTTTATGTATGTACCTATTGTAATGTTTTTTATGTTTATGTACTGTAGTTTCTACTAATAAATGTGATGTAGATGACATAAAACATTCCCATTCACCACCTTTCCTATCATCTTTTACATTTCTCTTCATGCTTACTCCTCCCCTCAATCTTTTCCCACCAGGTAATATCAATGAATCATCCTGGTCTTCTGAACTTTAAAGTAAAAAAATGTAAGGAACATTTTATTTTCTGTTTCATTACAGTAAAAGACCTTGAACTAAAACTATTTTTGTTACTGATGATTTTCTTTCATCTTCACAATAACTAAGTCTCAGGAAACCTGCATTCCTGAACTATCTGGAAACATGTTTGTCATGGTGGTTAATGGGAACACATACAGGATGTCTACCAGAAGTTATTGTAGTGATTATCACTAATTATATTTTAATGTCATAATCTATATTTTGTATTGTCGCGTATCAGAGTGTTTTGTAATTTCAATCCGTAAATATGTATCACATCTTGCTGTGTGGTGGTGCAAGCGCGTGATTGGCCCCTAAGCTCTGATGTGTATTACCACATCATGTCTATGGTGCAGGGTATAAATGGAAGGGCCACATGTGTAAAAACACCTTTTTTCTCCTGGATCTTGTCTGATCTGCAACAGAGGAATTGAGTGGAGTGCCCGAAAAAAAGGGAAAGAAAGAATAACTATGTGGAAGTGGAAATCAGCCCAGCAAGAGAGAAGGAAACATCACACAGAGGACTCAACTATCATCATCTTTGTAAATTGATTTGTACTAGTCCTAACCTATCAAATTCAGGATTGTCGCATTGTGTAAGTTACGATTGATTGTTTTTTTTTGTTCTTGTGTCATGCTAGAAGGGACAGAGGATTTCCCATCTATTTTTTTGAATTGTAAATGAACCTCAGAATTATATTGTTCTCTTATTAAATCTGTTTCGTACCTTATTATTTTTATACAGTCCTTATCATCAATCTTACCCCCACATTCACACTGATGTACTTCGGTATGCTACAGAACAACACTATTGTTGAATATACCTTTCACATAACTTTTACATACCTTTTCTCACTTTTCTCTGACCATTGTCCATTGTGCATATATAAATGTGAAAAATACTAAATTACCTATGTCATGGAATTCATAAACAGAATTTATTTATTCCCAAATATGTTGTTACACCAATCTTCTTCTGCATTTCTATGATTATTCAGTCTGTTGTGTCTTAAATTTTCTTTAGTATTCTCTAAAGAAGACAGTATACTAGTATTACAAAAGTTGTGACAAACCTGCTACTGTATATTATCTTTTGTCATTTGATTATAACAAGTAATTTATTATTATAAAAGAAAGCAATGGCATCACTAGAGATCATGGGAGTGTAGACCAGGTGACACCAAAATGACACTACAGTATAAAATTTTTATGCAGTGTAACAGCAGAAAATTAATATTTTTTAATAATAGTAATCATGTAGCTAGCTAATTATAACAACAAAATCATTTTATGTAAGCCAACTTATATGTACCAATATACCTACATTGCTAAAACTGTACACTAATTTACTTTTTTAAACCTTCTAACTGCACTCTGGTCAAAGATGTCATTATTACAAAACTGCAATAAAAAATATAAAAATACTTTACATATATAATAGTGAAATAAAAACACATGTATCCTTAAATACATGTAGGCTGTGTACGTGATATTGTAATTTAAAGATGTAATTTTACTTTTGCTAAGTTGTTTATGTTATTGCCATTATGTTCAGTAATGTACATGGGAATTATGATCTATGAGTAACATCAGTACATACAAAAAAACATTAAAATTTTTGTACAATTTGGTATGAACAGTATGCACAGAGGTGGCACCACGAGTTACCACATTGGGTGGCACCAACTCTAGTGATACTGCTAAAGAAGATAAAGAATTAAATGTATAAAGTTTTACCTGAAACATCTACATAAACTTGGACTATAGTCTGGAGGGAATTGAATGTAAATACTACTCTTTTTCCATTTTCCCAGTGAAGCTGAACAAAATTATTCAGATGATCAAAAGCATATAAAAGCAGAGCATCATCCTCAAATGTAAAAAAGTTCAAAATAATATTTTCATTTAAAATTGGATGTCTGTATTTATTTTCTCCCATCAGATGATAAAATGAATTATTGTTCAAAAATGTGACACTGTTTTCATTAAGGTCTATAAAAAAAATTAAATTTTTATTAAAATTACTTTCAAATATTAATAAAATATTCACTCTGTCTATTTTATATATATAAAATGCATTTCACTTACTATTTTCACAGAATTTTCCAGAATAAGCTATTTCATTGACACATTCACATCGAAATGATCCCCACAGTTCATGACAGGTAGCTCCATTTTTACAGGGATTAGAAAAACAAGAATTTAAACATCCTTGTTTGATTTCAAATGTTCTGACATAAAGTACAAATCAAATTGAATATTAATAAAAAAATATCATAAAATGAAATTTAAATAATTCAATAAACTGTTTAACTAAACTTAGAAATATTAAATGTTTTGTATGAAGAAACTTTTCAGATAATTGAAGACATGAGTAAATGAAGGTGTTATAACCATTCAAAATTCAATTGATCTTCATGGATGAAAGTGTATCTATATCAAACATTGTGAAGCCTGATATGTATTGAATATGTAGAAACATCACCAAACAATCACCTAAATAATTGGGCTATAACTCTACTAATTTAATGATCAATACTAAGTAATTTGCTACTAGAGGTAGACATTAGGCACCATCTCTTAACGAAATTACATAGTGCTCTGTCACTATTTGTTTCCCAGCTTTATATATATTAGGTACTTTGTAGTTGTATTGGGTTTTCTACCTTTTGTCATGTTACTAGGCTATTTGTAAATTTTTTTGTTTTTTACATACCACCTTTGGCAGCTGCTGTCTGCTTAAGCAGGATTGGTTGTCATGACACCACATGACTAAGGTTGAGATCCCGGATGGCGGCAAACATAAAATCACATGAGCAACATGTGCAGACTACCTTTTCTTTCTGGACTATGCCTGGTGAAGACTTTCGAGCATGGAACATTTGTGACGTATCCAAAACTAAGACAATATGAACCCAAGTTTTTTAATTCTTTTAGAATATCTATAAGATCATTTGATGATGGCTGGTCTCTTTTAGATTTCATCAATAAATAGATCAGTATCGAAATGATCGTTCTCCATTTCGGCCGATGTATGTCCACTCTACCTGAAAGCGCGCGATCGAATATACAACAACATGGCAGCACATATATCTCAAAGTGCGCGGCTGATGCCTGTGAAACATGCGTTCTAACAAAAATCTATCAATGTGCATTTGATGCGATCTTGGCCAGAAGCGCACGTTTGAGTATGTATACCTATGCAGAATTCTTGGTTCTTTAAAACGTGTGTTACCAAAACGCCCATTTAAAAACGCCTAATGTGTACACAGCCTCAGTCTGAATCTCTTGGTGATTTCCAGACACTACAATTATAATTATAATAATGCAATACGTCTATAGAATCCACCTAACAAAATTTCTTACAAATGTAAGACTTCATTTGTGCACATGCTCTGTTTCTTTTTATGTTGTATAATCAAAGTTTTTAAAAAAGTTTTTAATATTCTATAAAAAGAATGAAAAGAATGCACATCGGTATAATTTTTGAATTTGAAATTTTGTTAGACATTCCATGAAAAGAATATGCAGTTGGAACTCATAATTAAGTTTGTTTTGGATTCATATTTTTATAAAAAAATCTGGATCTGAAGAAAGATCTGAAGACGTATTGAAAATGCTAATCTGTTATCTGCAGAAAGGACTTATTGCAGTTAAACAAGGTGTGTTACATACCATTTTTTGTTTTTATTATAGTGCATGATTGTGGCATATACCTAGTAAAATACTGAATATACCAAAGAAAGAGAGAAGCTTTGATTGTTTTGTTGTTTCTTTTTGAAACAACAAAACAATCAAAGCCTCTCTCACTCTTTGTGTACAAATTAAATCTCTAAATCAGCATTTCTCAAACTATGGGCATTTCTCGAAATCAGCATTTCTCAAACTAAAATTTTAATGGGTTGCAAAATAATACTACATTTCTCAAAAATACTTAAAATATTTTTATTACTGAAATATTCTCTAAGAACAATAGGTACTGTACATCTGTTAAGTACTGAAAACTTTTAACAACTTTTAACAACTTTTTCCTAATAATTATTATTGTTATTTAGTAATAAAGTTAAGATAATAGAATATGTATATCAGTGATGCATTAAGCATTTAATCTTGTTAAATGAATAAAAAATTTTTAATGCGAATGCAATAAAATTTCTGTCTTATATGACCACTAATTTGCAATTAAGTACAATTGGTTATATTCATTGGTGAAACAAGATTTGTTGGGATAAAAATAGATGTAAATAGCTGATTTGCTATGTGCTTCCCAATCATACTCAGTGGAATCCTTGAAAAGAGAGAGAGAGAGAGCAAGAGAGAAAAGGTAAAAAGGTAAATCATGGTTTAGAGTATGATGATTGTGTATTGTATAAATCATCAAAAGGGTAAAGATTAAAATCTCAATTTGTTGTCAAGCCAAATTGTTCTTTGTTTCTGTTCGTTCCTCAGACCTACGCACTGTGGTAACATCACAATATACTATTCAAATGACAATTTTTAAAAAAGTACATTAACAGATTCCAAATACACTGTTCAAATCACAATCACAGTCTGTAGATTTTATAAATAATAAATAAATAAATTCACAATTTAATCTAAAGAATATAAAAAAAATATCTTCATTTGAAAATTAAACTTACTCTAAATTTAAATATCTGTATAAATTAATAACATCATTATTCATAACCAATCCTCTAAAGCACCCAATGAAGCCTTGATGAATTGCTATATCAATTTTCTGATATCTAAAAATAAAAAAATAATAACACACAAAACTTTAAGTTTTTGGCTACAATTATTTGAAATATTATTACATCAAATGTTAGTTTAATCAAATTCATTATATTTTATTTATTAAAATTCCTAGTTTAGTTAATTTAAAACTGTTTTTAAAAATAATTTAATAATTTAAATATGGATTTAGACATTAATTATGAACATATTATATTGATAAAGTTAGTTTGACTCAAGGCTGCGGAGTTAATAAAAAAAACACTCGGCTCCACAGCCCTGGATGAAACTATATATATATTTCCCATCTTCAAAAGTTCATATATATTAAATACCAATATTTCATCTTTTTTAAAGACAAGAAAAAAAATCTTTTCAAGAATTCATCTTTTGTCATTTAGTATTATATACTCATAAACATGGATCAATAACCCACAATATATTGACTTTTATCAAAACTTTTCTAAATATTTTATTTTCTGAGAAATACCACAAAAACTCCCCTTTATTGTAAAGAAGTATTTGTTTAATATACCTTATCTTATCTTTATTCATCTTTATCTTTATCTCCCTTTTGTTAATGATTAACTGTGTGGTTCTGTTGTACTGAATAGCATGAGAATCTTCATACAAATAAACCACCTTTTGTCAATTTTCCAATTTAAACCAGTAAAATTTTGTCCTCCCATTGCCAATGTGACCAAAGCAACAATTCAAGAACTCGAATGAAAACTGAATTTTGCATATCTCGACATTTCAAGGTGTCCTGAGTCCAAAAATGTAAAAATTTGGGAGGGGTCATTTTTTGATCAATGGCTACACTTTCCCTCTGTTATATATAACAGCTGGCAAAGTAAAAATTATAAAATACATATTTATATATTGATTGTGTCATTACTTAGTGGAGTCTTTTAGCTTTGGAATAAAAATGTTTCTATGTTCTATCTTTATTAGAACTCTATTTATTGAATATTTTATTCTGAGGTCACGTGATGACATCAGAATTTCTGGGTCTATTTTGGTAACAAGTCTACCTCTGTCAGAGTCGGATGGTAAGGCAAAGTAGGAGTCTGTAAATTTTTACACGACTCCACAGCCCTGATATTCAGTATGCTATATTGAACAAAATGGTTATGCAGCCCGCGCTTGTCATTCTCTCAGTTATCAGGCCCACTGTGAAAAAGTTTGGTGACCCCTGAGGTATATCAATGATATAATGATAATCAATAATAATAATAAAATGCTAGGTAATTTGGCACTAGAGGAGAACATTAGGTGCAATGTCTTGCTAAATTTAATAATTATAATTAAATTGAATATATATTAAAATTAAATTAATAATGGATGGCACCTAACAACTACCTCTAGTACCAAATTACTCAGAATTTAATTATTAATAGTAGTGGTAAAGAAGCCTGATTCAATACAGCAATCATTTGGCTTCTTAGATCAATGTTTGATGTTATGATCTGTTTTTGAGCACTGATGCTTAACCTTGCAATGATAGCTGAAAGCTATTAAAAACATTTGTTTATCAGTAAATCTTACACATTTCTTACTGGAGTTTGGTATAATTTGTCTTTTGTTTATAATTATCCAGTTTTTTGTGGTGGTTATATTATATCATTATTATTAATGAAATAAATCTTTAGACTTATAGTAAAATAAAATTTTCAGATATAAATAAGCTCATTTAAAAAAAAAATGAGCAAGTTTAGAAATTTTTAATTTTCTGTGACATAATGGTTAAACTTTCAGACATATCCTGTGATGTCACTGACTTTGGTGTTAGGCCCACCTGACAGCGTATAACTGTGGTCAGTCACATAGCCTTCAATGTGCTGGTACCTTGCATCAAGTAATCAATCAACTTACTTTTAAACTAAGTAGCATTTAATATTAGTAAATCAAACAGAATCAAACAGCTTTTAAACTGTCACTTGAAAATTTATTCTATCAAACAAGTTCAAATAATCTTATCTAGTCATCATAATATGAACAGAATTTCATAACATTTTCAAGTACTTAAAAAAAAATCACTTAGAAATATTAAATCAAGCCAGAAAAAATTATTATTATTATTTAAAACACTACTTTTTTAAACATTACTTAGTTTACCTTTCTTTTTCAAATTGCATTTGATGTCTGACATCACTTACTTCTAAATTAAATATGTAGATAATTCCAAGTACTTTCTTATCTTAAACTTAAATAACAACTAAAGTGTAATTAACATAACAAGACATCAAAATGACAGACAGCTCTCCTAGTAGTGTAAGAAAACTTAATGTTTTAGATTAGACAGAAAATAAAATTACTTTGGCAAACCTCCAACATACAGAGCACCTTCAAATGGACCAATATCTTCTTCTTCACTGAGATCCACCATTTTTGACATTAAATTTACAGTAAAGCGAATATGATGAATATCATAGTCCACCCACACTTGCTGCCACTCTCCATTATTTAATGCATTATGAGAAGACACTTTTATGCTATATGGTTTCTTATTTACAGTGAATTCAAAAGACAAAGTGTTATCTGAAAAGTGAATTAAAAATTAATTATTTTAAAACAATCAATAAAATATAAATTCAAAAATTTTGTACCATCAATAAGTAAGACTTGAAAATAGCTATGATTAATAAAGGGAGACTTTTGATATAAAAGTATTGCTCTGTTACTTGATGTTCTGAAACTAAAAGCTAAATCCCCTTCTTTCCATCCAGGTAATTGCAGATAAGAATTTTCTGTTATGAATGTTATAACATATAATTGTGTATCTGAAAAATTAAGAAATAGTTATGAGAATTTATTTTAGTTTGTTCTATAACATTAACAATGAGTAACATAAAATCTTGACATTCAAATATTAATTTTCAAGTATAACTTCAAATACAGTGGTTGCTGCTTATTGTAATCATATTGGTTAGATGGTTTTAATAATAATAAGCAGCTGATAACAATATCCAGCAGCTGCCATTTTTGCAGGATAGCATGTGTTTATTCTACAGCAGGAGTGGTTGGTCAATCAATCAAATGCAATTGACAGATCAATCTTGAAAAAATTTTCAATTCATTGCACAGTATTTGCCACAATTTTATAACACATGTTTTTATCAAATTGAAAAGATCCTATTAAATTACTTTCAATATTAAATCATAAATGAGAGAAAGCACAAATATGTGTTTATACTGTAAATAGAATAGAGGTCACAGTTGATACAGATGTTACTATAAACTTATAGAGTGACATCATTTTTGCCTAACAGATGATTGAAAATAGTTTGAATATAATGAAAGTTGTTTGCAGCAGCAAAAAACTGACCACCCATTCTACATTATAAAAATAATAGAACATTAATCTGTAATCATAAAACTACATAAAACTAAAGGAAATAAATTTTTGTTGTTATTTAATGTTATAAAAATATCTTATTCAAAAGTAACAGTCATAGAATAGCAGTTTTTAACTAGTAATATGCCAACTGGCACAGAACACTTTGTAAAAAATCTATAAGCAGTGCCACATTTAAAAAATACCAAAGATGAATATTAAATGATACTTCTGGAAAAATAATAACTAATGTTTTTGAAAAGTTAATCCTAATTTGGCACTTTAAACTAGGACATTTATGATTTTTATATCTGATGACAATAAGTGGCAGGCTGATCACAATATCTGGCAAGATTTTACACATCAAATATAGAGCTGGTTTGGGAAAATGGGTTTTAATTACATTAAAGGGCTGATAACATTAATCAGTATCATAATAAGCAGTGACCACTGTATACAGAACAATATAAACTGAATGATACACAGTCAGTATTGAATCACACGTGTAAAAATTACTCACAAGACAAAAATCCAACATATAGAACAAAAATAATTCCTTTGCTAGTCTTTGCCTATGTTGATGACTTTCAAGCAGGAGTTCTTTGGATTGTTAGATCTGCACATTTCAGTGTTTTGTGATATTTGCTTTTGTTTAAAGTAGTTAGTACTTGTGTTCTAGAGTCTATTGTTACTTGGTTTTTCAATTTTGAATAGATAGTTTTTGTTTTAGAACTGTTTATACTTCATTAGACTTAACTAGCTTAACCTATTGTCAGACGCAATCTGTATTTTAAAATGAGCAGGTGCAACCCATCCTGGAGACTGACAATTTTTACTTTCAGATTAATAGTATTTACAATCGGTTTTTTCATTTTCATATATTATAATTATTTATTTGAAAAAATATTAATATACATGAGAAAATGATACAAAGCAATAAGGAATATAGGGTAAAAAATACAATATAACATATCACTATTTTGTGCACTATTAGAGTTGTCTTCACTGGAACCATGCATTGCAATTCATTTTAATGATCACTCTGCAAAATAAAAGAAAATAAAAAGGGGAATTGTTTAAAACTTACAACAGTTATAACTTATAATTTACCAATTATCTATAATACAAAATAAATGTTTGCTTTTATTCAAAAATAAAATTTTTTTTAATTCTTAATGTTTACTAACTAACGTAAGGTAAGAAAGGTAAAAATAGCAGAAAAATAAAAGAATTACTTACATCTTTTCTATACAGCCACATAACACAAGAAGGCACAATACATAATAAAGATGGGTTATACATATTTCTTCTGTAAAATGTAACTGTTTTCCAAAACCAAAACACTCCTCACTCCAGTACTGTTTAGTGCACATATCCCTTTGAGAATACACCAACTCTTTAGGCTGATCATAGCACATAAAAGCAGTGGTGTACATAAGAAGAAAAATACTGTCCTCAGGATGGGATTGCACCTGATAAAAGGTTAAATTAAGCCTCCTGTAGTTGGCTTAGGTCTAACAGAGACTTATTGGTTTTTCATTATAATTCTGCTTAATAATAAAAAATGACGCTTTTAGTCCATGACTTTAATTTAGATAGTTAGATAGCCTAATAAATAGGATTTTAACAATTTAGAGGGCTTATCACACCAAGGCCAAAGTAAAATAATTCTGCTTGTTAAATTAGTTCTTCCTTTTTTGTTTTTGTTGGTGTAGATTAGTTTTTATTACTCTATTTGCTTTAGTTTAGTTTCTAGGGTGTCATTAGCTTAGTTAGCCTTTTCTTAGAATAGTTTAGATAGTTTATTTTTGTATTTTGTTAGTATTTTAGGATTTACTTATTCGGTGTTAATTTCGTTCCCATAACTTATTCCATTATTGTGTTGTAGTCAGTGAGTGGTGTGCCATCCATGGAAGCTGTGGAAGCACTGCTTCCCTTGTATTTTCTAAAATATACGAGGGTAGTTTATCAACCTCCAATGGTCCATAAAACAAAGACAAGTGTAAATAACAAAATTTATTACCAAAAATTAGATACAGACATAGTTACTTTTTGACATAATTATTGTGAAGATTGAGGCATTTGTCTATCTGTGGACAAGCTATGCAATCTCCTCTTCATAGAATGCTGACACCAGTGACTTGAGATGGGCCTTAACGCTGTTTTGAAGATTGTCATTAGTCTGTAGTTCTGTAGCATACTGAGATACAACAGTGTGAAGGTGAGGGTAAGATTGATAAGAATTGTATAAATTAATAAGGTACAAAACAGATTTAATCAGAGAACGATATAATTCTGAGGTTCATTTACATTTAAAAATATAGATGGGAATTCCGTCACCCTTTCTAGCCCGACATGAGAACAGAAAGAAAAACAATCAATCATAACTTACGCGATGTGACAATCAGGGATCTTTTAGGTTAGGACTAGTACAATATTCTTACAAGGATGATGATAGTTGAGCCCTCTATGTGATGTCTCTCTCTTGCTATGTTGATTTTCACTTCCACATGGTTGTTCCTTCCTTCCTTCCTTCCTCTTTCTTTCTGCACCCCAACTCGATTCTTCTGTCGCAGACCAGACACGATCCAGGAGAAAAAAGGTACTCACATACACATGGCCCTTCCATTTATAACCTGCCACATATACGTGACGTGATAACATACGTCAGATCTCAGGGGCCAATCACAAGCTCGCACCACCACACCGCAAGATGTAATACATATTTACAGAATAAAATTTACAAAACACCCCGATACGCGACAATATGAAATATATATATATATAGTGACGACATTACATATACTTAGTGATAATCACTACAAGTCTCAAACCTCTGCCCTCCTAGCCACGTTTTCAGTTCAGGAAAGAGGTGGAAGTCACTTGGTGCTAAATCGAGGCTATACACTGGGTGTTTAAAAAGTTCTAAGCTGGGTGGAAACCTTCACACACCTTTAATGTGTGAAGACTTCCACCTCTTCCCTGAACTGAAAATGTGGCTAGGAGGGCAAAGGTTCAAGACTAATGATATGATCTTCAAAATAATGTTAAGGCCCATCTCAAGTCGCTAGCGGCAACATTCTATGAAGAGAGGATTGCAAAGCTCATCCACAGATATGACAAAGGCCTCATAATTATGTCAATAAATGACCATGTTTGTAGGTACTTAACTTTTGTAAATATATTCATTTTGTTATTTACACTTATCTTTGTTTTATGGACCATCAGAGGTTGAAAAAAAAACAGCCTATGTAAATACATATTGTGTGATTATTTTCATATTTTAATGCACTTTGAATTACTTAATACGATTATAGTAAAATATAAATTTTATGTATTTTATTAAAAATTTCTATACATGTGAAAAACAATGATATTGTATATTTAAATATAAATTCATATATGCATATTCCCAATGGAAGTGCTGTATTGTCAAATATGGGATAGCTTTCACAGTGAAAATATCTGACTCGTGTAAATTGTAAAGAAGCCAGATTACAGGCATTTGTGCATGTGCTTTTCAGAGCACCAACTTCTGGCAGTTTAGCTGGTAGATGCTACACACCAAAATATCATATAATGCTTCCAACGATTCTATCCATTAGCCACTCGTAGGGAGCTATTTGACTAAGTGCATTGTTTTAAGATTTAAAAAATAAAGATTTTATGTTATTTTTATATACGTTTCTTTACAAAGATATATTTAATTATAATTATTAGTGATGCAACGAATATTCGGTTACTATTCAGTATTCGGCCTATTTTTTGCTATTTGGCCGAATACCGAATATTTAATTACTATTCGGCCGAATACCGAATACTTAAAAAAGGAGTAAAAAATCTACCTACTTATTATGTAGTTTAGTCATCTATATACTCGTATATAAAAGAACAAGTCCTGATAGGATAATTAATGCAGAGCCAAAACTACTGGTGATAGAATCTTAAAAATTACAGGGTGTGTTCCTTTTGTAAAGTTTAGATGTGCTAAGAAAAGATTTTATGAAATTCAACCCTAAACGGGTGAAAAGAATAAAAAATTTGTATAAAAATTTTTACTGCGTGAACACATTAGATAGAAACTTAGAACAAGTCCTGATAGGATAATTAATGCAGAGCCAAAACTACTGGTGATAGAATCTTAAAAATTACAGGGTGTGTTCCTTTTGTAAAGTTTAGATGTGCTAAGAAAAGATTTTATGAAATTCAACCCTAAACGGGTGAAAAGAATAAAAAATTTGTATAAAAATTTTTACTGCGTGAACACATTAGATAGAAACTTAGATCATAAAACATAAAAAAAAATAATTAATGATCTGTAAAGTGTTTTTATGACACCATCCCTTATTATAAACTTAAAATTAAATTAACTTTTTTGTTTCATTGTAGAAAATTATTTATCATAACTGAAATTCCAGACAGCTTGGTACCTGAATGGCCCCAGGCTTGCGCCCGTGCACGCTAA